TGAGTTAAGTAAGTATGCTGCAATTCGAGCTGCAGGTAATAAATATAATCAATTTTTCTGTTTTTTTTTTCCTTTATTTTTTTCCGTCGATCTTGTTTTCCGTACTGAGTACCAATGCTCCCGACGCCAGGAAGGCAGCTCCCACATCTGGACCCTACATATCGACCCATCAACTCATGAACCGGGGGCAGAAATTCAATTACAATTTCTGCAATTTTGTTTCAAAATGAAAACGAAACATAAAAAAAATTGCCATATTATTTTTACATCAATAAACACATTTTTATTTCTACTGCGTGAATTGTCAGATTGAATCAACAAGAAATCTCTTTTAAAAACAAACATATTTTTGTTGTTAACCCAGCTGCCAAATTTGACAGCTTACGTCAAAACCATGAAAGCTCTTGTAAATTCTAAAAGATTTTCTTTTTGATTTAACAATCCATGGGTTTTTAGAAACAAAAATACTGGATTGTTGAAACAATAATGATTTCTTTTTGCAGCCAAAACAAAATGAATTTCTTATTGATTTTACGTCAAATATTATTACGTTTAAAATATTTTTTTCTGCGTGCAGATGTTCTTATTTAGTCATAATCATAACAATTGGTTTATTTAAGGGTATTGAGGAAAATGCATATTCGTAATCTGCATTAAAAATGGAAACCAAACCCAAAATTTCATCAATTTTGGTACACTGGAACTATTTCAAATAAGTATGATTACATTTGCAAACATCACCTTATTACACACAAAAAATAATCGTTAATAAAATTAAAAAAACCATTGGTAGAATTAAAAGTTTGCGTTGGTTCTTTTTGGTAGAAAGCGGTGTGCTTTCAAAACGACAGTCAGCCAGCTCTCAAATTAAAAGCTTTTTTTATTGTTAATTTTAAAAGTTGAAACTTTCAAATTGAATTGTAGCACTGTCAAATCGAAAACCTAATGCTTTTAGATTGGCGTTTCAAAAGTTTTGATTCAAAAGACGGACATTTTATCCCAATTATTTAAATTGTCATTTAAAAAATGAATAATTATTGATTCAATTGCTTTTATGCTTAAAAATAATAAAACCAATAATAATGTTTATTTCGAGTTATTTAAAGTATTTTGTATTATATTTCTGTTTTTCATTGAGCTTCAGCAAGGGCTACTCAGGCCAAATCTAACTACAGTGAACAGATATTCGTCGGTGGCGGATGACGTTGGGAAGGTTTCCCCCGAGACGCGCGGCTCCACCTTGCAGTGGGCTCGAAACGAATGTGCACTCTGCATTTGCTACTGACCGACAATTAGCATTGGTCTGGTGTGGATCGGGAAACTTCATATTACCAATTGCTTACCGCTTCCATCGTAATTCGTTGAACCATCTTCGATTTCTTTTCCATTGGCTCAGGTTAATCTTCCATTTTTTGTTTTGAAAACCTAAAGAGAACAAATTGAAAGATTTTGTTTCAACTAAGTAAATTAGCAATAAGTAACTGTATTGTTGAACTTTTACCAATCAGGGTCAATGATGTGACGAAGCGTTTTACGTTTTTAATAACTGACATCATCCTAAATTCGTATATGTACGTATCCGGATAGATACTTCAAGCATCTCTGCTGCTTGCCTCAGATCTGTAGGAATCATCGTCTGTTTTGAGCCCAACCGGGAATAAACAGCAGAGGTTGGGACATGCTTCAGATTCTTCTTCGGTAGATGGCGAAGCATTTTCGTCACGTTGTCCTTGTTCAGATAATTGTTATGATGCAAATCTAGAAGCAGTAGTATTTGTATGGTTAGAGCTAAAACAGGGGCCTCATTGTGGAAGTCGAAACGAATAATTTTTCGTATGAACGCTTGAATGAAAACAGTCGTTTCGTCTTGCCTCAAGGTGGTCAAATCGATTCCGATTCGAAGATCTCAACACTTACCGCATTGGTTGAATTCAGGCAGATTTATGAAGAGCAGAATAAATTGTTGGCCACTTCTTGATGACTTCTATGATCCTGAACACTTTACCGTAAATTCAGAGTAATTTTCTCCTCGGTTGCTTCCATCTGTAGTTTTGTTTATTGTTCAGGAACATGCGTTTTTAAGGCTCTGAACCATTTGGTGGATTATTTTAACTTTTGGTTAAAATTTGACAGATGGAAAGTTATCGATTAACCCTGCTATCCGAGCGTGGTAATTTCTGACAGACAAGAAGTTAAATTTTGACAACCTTGGCTAAGTTCTTCTCGAAAACCGGTTGATCGACAGCACAGGGATTTTCGAACATAGAAAATAACTTTCGAAATGTCACTTTTAACCACGAGTTAAATTTAACTCGGCAAATGGTTCACAGCCTAAGGCTCTGAACCATTTGGTGGATTATTTTAACTTTTGGTTAAAATTTGACAGATGGAAAGTTATCGATTAACCCTGCTATCCGAGCGTGGTTACTTCTGACAGACAAGAAGTTAAATTTTGACAACTGTGGCTGGAAAACCGGTCGATCAACAGCACGGGGATTTTCGAACATAGAAAATAACTTTCGAAATGTCACTTTTAACCACGAGTTAAATTTAACTCGGCAAATGGTTCACAGCCTAAATTTAGCGGCAAATAAAGGTCCAGTGCTGCCAAATACATTGCTAAGAAGTGGTATGTTTGACAGTTGTACAACTTTTATTTTAAAAAATGAACTTTTAAATTTATGAGTTAATAAGTGAAAGAAAAACTTTCAAACCAAAGATGTTACTTTTGTTTTGAATATTTTCGTTATTAAAGGTACGAAGTTTTGCAAACTTTTTAAAATAAAAGTGAATAATTTTTATTATAACAATTTTTGTTCTTTGTGTGTAGCAACAATCAATTCGAAACTAACGATTTTATATTGGCTCACTACTTGACTAGCCTATTGGTCCCAATCATATCGAAAAACGTATCCCATTCTAGTATAAATTTCAGTACTACACTATGTTTCTAGATAGAGCTGAAATAAGGGCGTAACAGCTTTTGTAAACAATGACTTCTCTCGATGATTTCCAGAAACTCAAGGCTCGCTCAATCAAGTCAATATCATGAAATTGTATGAAATTGGTTCCAAATGTAAACAAACCCTGTAGGTTTCTTATGGCTTCTTTACGTTTGGAACCAGTTATGCGAGGTAGGCGACGATTGTTCGTATTTGACAGCCACCTCCCCCACTTGGTGACACTTTGTATGGGAGCGAGCTGTCAGTGTAAAACAGTGAAGTTATTGTGAGTGGGCTCAATTTACCCCTCGTCACAAGAGTAGCTCAATTAGGATGTTGGCAACACTCCTCAATAACGTATTGCATTAATACTGGCAACACGTCATCGAGGCCCAGAAGCCAGCAATATCCATTGCATCGCCCTCTTTCGATTGCTGACCGACCTCAAGGTAAGACATGCAGTTGTCCGCCCTGCGCTATACGTAAGACTCCAGCGTGTTGAGTTATTCCCGTCTAAAGTACAGTGCTCACATTTTGGCGATCCTGCCAGGAGTACAATTCTGGATAATTGGACTGGCAGGAACCTGGCACAAATAATATTAGAAAATCTGACCTGCTCATGACGGGAATAACTCAATGGAAAATGAGCTTTACTGAAAAAAAAACAGCACGTGTTATGCGAGTCGGGTTGACCGCAATAAAAAAAAGAAGAAGGAAGAGAATCTCTTCTCAATAAATGAAAGGCCGCGGAGGTACCCGCATATAATCTAAACATACTTGAACAATACTACGAATGGTTTATCTTCCACCAACTTACCATATCATCAATGGTTTACAAACTATAACCCAACCATAGATAATATGATTTTAACCATATCATAAATCGTTTTAAGAGAGTCAACCATAAAATCAATAGGCTGTTAAGTATAATTACTATACTGAAAATGAAGAATTTTCATACATATTTTTTCAGCGAACCTTTCTTGAACCATTCATTCAATGTTCTGAAAAGAGCTGCTTATAACCATTGTGTTTAATGTTCGTATGTGATTTTAAAAGGAATTTTGAACCATTCATTTTAATTTATTTTTGAGGTTGAACAATTAAATCGAGAAGATTGATAATAGAGTAAATGAATGGTTTTATAAAATGGTCTAACCATACATTGTAATGTTCTATTCAGTTTTTTTTTATTCTCTCAGCTCTGGATAATAAAAAAAATAGATATAATTTTAAAAATTGATGTTTTATTTAACAAAACAGAACGAAACTTAACAGAAATGTGGGTTTCAGAACCCTTAACCTCGTTTGAACAAAATATTTTGCACTTTTTAGATTTGTTTTCGTTAGTTTAAAGTAGCATAAAGTATGAAATGCAAAAAGTATGAATCTTAACAATATTTAGGGTTTCTGTACCCTACTTCGGGGCCTCCCTTAGCTCAGTCGGTAAAGGCGCAGCTACAAAGCAAGACCATGCTGGAGGTGGCTGGGTTCAATTCCCGGTCCCGGTCTAGGAATTTTCCGGGTTGGAAAATTTCTCGACTTCCCTGGGCATAGAAGTATGATTAGACTTGCCATACAATTATACCAATGCAAAAATGGTACAGGCATCGAAAGCTCTCAATTAATAACTGTGGAAGTGCATCTGGAACACTAGGTTGAGAGCACGCAATAAGCTAATATGCGATATGCAATAAGCTTGAAATGCGAAGAAGAAGAAGAAGTACCCTACTTCGCTTTTAACAAAGTAATGCAGTGAAAGGAATAGTATGTAAGGTCATAACAATGGTGTAGTCGAGAATTGCTGCTTCTATTGAAGAGTTTCTTGTGGTTTATCTTGGACGCGTTTTGCATTGCACGGTAACCGCAAAATACCCAATAATGACTACAAAGTAAGCATTTTCGAGGGAGACTGGGACTACCCATTAAATGAGTAAACATATTACCCATTTATGAGTATTTGTTACTCAAAAATGAATACTTACTACTTATTTTTGTAGTTGTAATTACTCATAAATGGGTAAAATTTTACTCATTTAATGGGTAGTCCCAGTTTCCCTCGAAAATGCTTACTTTGTAGTTATTATTGGGTATTTTGCGGTTACCGTGTGGCCTTATTCATGTTGCTTATTTTTTGGGCGATGAATTTTCGAACGAAATGCTCATTTGCCACAAACGATACTTCCTTCATCTTATGGACTCCAAGCCGAAGAGCTACGCGTTCGGTCAGCTTTTCTGAAAATAAAAAAATATTTGTTTTTCATCGATAATAAACAATAAGTACAATTGATAATAAACAAAAGTTACCGTGAATAAACTTAAAAATCTTTGGGTCGATTTGCTCCCTGGCGGGGTACATCAACGAACCATCAGGGTTCTGTAGATTTATGAAACGTGGTGTCGGTTTGCCGGTACGTTTCAGTCTTTCGGTTCCGAAGAAAAATATAGCCAAATTGGCTACAAACAGACTGTCGGTTGACGATTCATCATTGATCTCCACAATCTTCTCATAAGATATTTATATTTCCGGTTCCGTTGTGAATCTCATCTGGAATAAATAATAATTATGTTTTAGGATAAAAGTTCTAAATAATGATATAAATTTTTACATTTCGATACTTACTGATGGAATCTTCTGTTGTTCCTTGAGATCCTGTAACTCTCGTGACAGAGATAGAGCCAGATCGTCGGACTGAACTTTAGCTCGCTCAGCCTCTTCTGTCCTTTTGCGAAGCCTTTTGACTTCTTTGGCTGTGTCCTTAACCTTCTTGTTAGCCTCTTGAATCATTTGGTCAGCTAGTGGCAAGCATGTGGCGCACAATTTGTTTGTCAAAACTTCACCATCCGGGACAGGATCATGTTCCACAATGTTCACCAATATGATTTGGGATCTTTCGGCATTTGTAGAACATGGAACAACAGCTCTAGAAGGGCCTGCCAAGGCATCTGCCACAAGTGGGGGAACACTTGCACCGTCATGCGTAGGTTGCAAAAGCAACACCTCCATTTCTTCCTGGTCGGTCACTCTGCAAGCGACTTCAGGCGCCGGCGTTGGATTGGTGCTTACTTTTGGCGATGCATGCATGGACAGATTTAAAGCTGAATCTTGCATTGTGACATCCGGGATTTTTTTTTGCGTATCGTCTTTCAGTTTAACTTGGTTATCCTCTTCTTCGTGAATGTCATCCAACTGCTGCTCATCCTCAAGCGCCATCGTAGATGAAGCAAGCGGATCTTGCAATTCTGGATCTGGGGAATCGTTGATTTGGGGATCATTTGCCGAAACAAAAGTGTATCCCGCCTGGGTAAGATGCTCTCCTTGACTAGCGAGAAGCTTTTTATGCTGAAAAGAAAGAAAACAGATTGGTATTACTAAATGTTTAACACCATTAAATCTTGTCTAATCCGGATAGGGCAACTCTCGCTTAACAATTGAAAAGGGCCAACATTTTTTTGTTAAAAAACATTTGTAGGCCCTTCACTTGCCAACCGAATTACGCCCATGCAAACCTACGACACCATCGGGTAGGGGCTCGTTCAAATATTACTTAACGCTAACAAATTTCGACCCCTCTCCCCATACGTAACAAATTTTGTATGGGAACTCTAAAATGCTTGTATGGACCGTAACAGTTTGGCAGACCCTCCCCCCTTAGAGTGTTAAGTAATATGTGAACAGCTCCTAGGAGAAACTCTACCCCTCCCGATAATGTTGTTGGTTTGCGTGGCGTACTTCAGTCAGCGAGTAACTGGCCTACAAATGTTTGCTTAAAAAAAATTATTGGCCCTTTTCAATTTTTAAGCGAGAATTAATGAATCACAATCTAGAGGTCCGCGATTGCTTCGAAAGTGTCTGCAGAATCAATATTCATTGTAAACAATCTTCACAACTCACCTCTTCCTGTATCATTACCGAATTCAGCGAATGCGCTGAACGAGCATTTGGATCCACATTTTCTGATGAATTTGGACGCGATTCACCTGTAAGAAAAAAGTGTTCGTCTTCGTTCAATACTTGGTCCAGTACTTGTGTTGTTACCGGTAGAATGAGTAGAAATTAAATTATACTTACGCTGATTCAGCTTTTTAACGCGATCACATTTCTTTTTCGGCGCAGGTTTCGGCGGCATCTTGCAGCGAGTCTTCCTCTTTCGGTGAGCTTCTGGAACAAAAAATGGGAAATGGCGTCGCAAAAGCAAAGATGTTTCAAGCCAATACACGCTAATACTGGGTTACCTATAAATTGAGTAAAATAGGTAGCTCTACGAGGATATTCAAAGTATTGTTTGTATGGTTAAACCACATTTAATATCTTTCATTTAAAGTTTGATGGTATGAATATTTACTAATCACGAGGCTGATTTCTGTGAGTGTGTAACCTCTTGTGTAACTGTTCACGATAAAGTTAGTGTAAAATTTTGTATCGTTCACGGACAGAAAATTGTTTGCATTGAACCAAAAAAAACTTTATTTGTATTTACACAAACAATTCCGGTTGAAATTATATTGCATTTTATTGTTTCGATAATATTTATTCAAATAAATTCAAAATAAGATTCTTTTTGTTTTCATAAGCCACTCTTCAACTACAACTATTGTAAAAATAACAATATTCTATTATCAAGCCAGCAAAAGTTAATTTTAATTTAACATTTATTTGTTGTGTCAATTCCCCGGGCCATAAATGCAAAAATAATTACCAACCATTCCCTCGTGAAAACCCAGACAAAAATGTAAACAATAACAAAAAATTTCTCGTTTCATTCAGCTCTAGAGACAAGTAAGTATGCTGCTGTTGCAAAATATAAACAGTTTTTCTATTTTTCCTTGATTTTTTCCGTCAATCTTATTTTCAGTACTGAGTACCAATGCTCCCAACGCCAGGAAGGCCGCTCCCACACCTGGACCCTACCTATCGACCCATCAACTCATGAACCGGAGAGATTTTATGCCTCAGAAAGTTTTTTTTTAATTTCATTGTAATTCTGTTGGTAACAAATAGAAAACAAATTCTAAAAATAATCGCAAATTATTAAAAATTGAATCAATAAACATATTTTTATTTCTACTGCGTATATTTTTAGGCTTAATAAAATAAATATGATTGAATCAACAAGAAATCTCTTTTAAAAACAAAACATATTTTTTGTTGACCCAGCTGCCAAATTTGACAGCTTACGTCAAAACCATAAAAGCTCTTGTAAATTCGAAAAGATTTTCTTTTTGATTTAACAATCCATGGGTTTTTTAATCAAAGATACTGGATTGTTGAAATAATAATGATTTCATTTTGCAGCCAAAACAAAATGAAATTCTTATTAAATTTACGTCAAATATTATTAGGTTTAAATTATTTTTTTCTGCGTGTTAGAGAAAATATATGACCAATGGTTTCGAATTTTATTATATAGAAAGGTAAATGGTTTGAACGTTTATCAATATTATTTTGTAGCAACGAAAACTCGGGCTTTGTTTTGATTTGGTTAAAGTCGAAATTAAATCGAAAAAATGAAGCGTTCCCGTGCTCCTCGAATGAGTAAACTTTTTGGTTTGAATAAAAGTGCTCCGGTTGCAAAAAGATCAAAAAAGGTAATTGTATGATACATCATGTTGGTTTTCAACTTACGTAAAGAAAATTTTGGATTGCAGAAGAACTTGACATCCTCTAAAGATTCCCCAGATATTCTCCAACTTCCCTCATCAATTGTCTGTGATGAAGTTCCTGCTACAGATGATATTGTATTGTGTTCAAATTTTGTGAAATCGGTAATTCTTAGTCAAACGACACATAACTTGATATTATCAAATACAAACATATATATGTATTTAGGACACCGTAGAACATCATGCATCCAACGAGGAGACATTTGGAAACATAGCCGCTCATGACGAACTAGTAGCAATGGAAAAAACATTATCAAGTGAAATGATAAAAAACGACAAGTTAAAAGTGTAAGTCTGGATGAAGGAATGAAAGAAAATAACGACCAACACGCAGAAAAAACATATTTTAAAAGTAATAATATTTGACGTAAAATCAATAAGAATTTCATTTTGTTTTGGCTGCAAAAAGAAATCATTATTGTTTCAACAATCCAGTATTTTTGTTTCTAAAAACCCATGGATTATTAAATCAAAAAGAAAATCTTTTAGAATTTATAAGAGCTTTCATGGTTTTGACGTAAGCTGTCAAATTTGGCAGCTGGGTCAACAACTAAAATATGTTTGTTTTTAAAAGAGATTTCTTGTTGATTCAATCATATTTATTTTATAAAGTCTGACAATTCACGCAGTAGAAATAATAATATGTTTATTGATGTAAAAATAATATGGCAATTGTTTTTATGTTTTGTTTTCTTTTTGAAACAAAATTGCAGAAATTGTAATTGAATTTCTGAGGCATAAAATAAAAGCCCCCGGTTCATGAGTTGATGGGTCGATATGTAAGGTCCAGATGTGGGAGCTGCCTTCCTGGCGTCGGGAGCATTGGTACTCAGTACGGAAAACAAGATCGACGGAAAAAAATAAAGGAAAAAAAAACAGAAAAATTGATTATATTTATCAACTGCAGCTCGAATTGCAGCATACTTACTTACCTCAAGTCTCAAGATTTTCGAAAATCTTGCACTTATTTCCCGAAATTCACAATTGAAAACAATACTTACGTGGAACGCGGAAGTATTGTTATTGTTTACATTTTTGTCCGGGTGAAAACGAGGGAATGGTTGGTAGTTATTTTTGCTTTCATGGCCCAGAGAATGGACACAGCAAATAAATGCTAAATTAAAATTAACTATTCACGGACAGAAAATTGTTTGCATTGTATGTAAGGTAGCCACCATCCCTTCAAGACTTGTCTTGTATGCAGCTCCACTTAATAGCAAGATCAATTTGAGCTACCGATCTGAATTCACTATATCGCTGTATGAAGGGCCAAAAACGGAGGGGTGGACCCGTAAGCAGAGACACTTACGCGAAATCCACGGGAATTTAAGAATCTCCTTCCAACGATACGCTCCAACAAATCGAATAACACAATTCGCAATACTTATTAAGCTTCCTACTGGATGGTTTGTTAAGAAGGGCGCGTCAATCGCCCTGAAACTGTTGGAGTAGAATTCACACCACCACAATCGAATCGGTAGGATAAAGAAAATGATAGTGTTTATTCCCTCCTAGACTCCGGCTGTCAATCATACCATCGTCCAGTTTCAGTTTGAATGATACCCTGATGCTCCCTCCCAACCCAGTATTTATTTATATAATGAAAATATATGCAATGGAGAAATGAAATATATCAGAACATTAAAATATGACATAATGAAATACATTTATATGGATATTATAGTTGCTACTGCAATGAAGAAGTATTTTACATATAATAAGATGCAGCTCTACACCTCCTCAGCTCACAACAGGTGGATGCAACACTGAAATGTATAGGATATATTAAGCAATTAAATATATTTTGCTCGAATGATACTAACAATAATGCTAAAAATTGTGATGAATAACTAACATGACGAGAAATAACCTGCTTAATAATTATAAACATATAATATTATTTAATGTTTCCGCTTCATCAGCTTCATATTAATTTCGATGACTTGCTTGGGTAAACTGAAATATTAAGCTAAAGGTAATAGTATATCATGCAATGTATAATTTATATAATATATGTAGGGAAATGCAAAATGTATGTATGTATGCAGGTATTTCCTTAAAACACAGAAAATATAACAAAATACCAGTGGCGTCCCGTAACCTCACTATTGACCTGTGCACCAACTTTCAAAACCAGATTTAATGCCATATTCATATTCGAATCGGTTGAAAATACACTCAATCTTCTAGTTTACTCGATATCTATCTATTGCAAGCAATATATTGATTATTATTTATGTTTTGAGAGTTGGTGCACAGGTAGATCGAGGTTAAGGAAACGCCACTGAAAAATACAGAAAACCTCGATTTTAGACACTCAAATTAATATGAATATTTTAATTGCATGGTATGATTGAACTCAACTTTGCCTATTTAATGAATCCACAATTTAAGTAAAGAATCAATTTGCTAAATAATCGAGGTTGTTTGAGCATACAAGAGTTATAAAAATAAGCATCAATGATTAATTCTTGAAATAGCAAAACTCTGCAAAGGTAAAACAATTTAATAACATATGGTGATATTCAATTTATTCTCTGGGTAATCCAAATTCTGAAAACCATAGATATCATATTATATTATTATAAAATAAATATAAATAACAATGATTTGATATTTGATACACCTTCTGTAAATGAAAATTATAGTTACAATGATATAATGAGATTTTAAATATGTGAAATAAAAATAATTTACTAGTCATGCAATATATAAAATATAGTGAATGTAAAATAAACAAGTACCGTAAAACAATGAATGTTTTTCAAATTTTATATTTTTAAAACAAGTACTGAGGATCCAAGAGTTAATTCGTTAGTAATATGTTGAACGAAAATTAAAGCATTTGCACTATTTTTTTAGTTTTGTGACCTAACTTCTGCATTTTGATTTGGGGTTACTTTGATAATGTTCGATGAATGTAGAAAAAAAATGAGTGAAACTCAAACAATTTAGTTCTTTAAATATGAAACTTTGAATGAGTATATAATCAGAAAACTTTAAAAGCAATAATAATTCAACATTGAATTTGTGATGGCTGCATCGGAAAAACATTTCATAAGTGATGGTTTGCGTACTTTTTCAAAAGCGCGAAAAACACGAAAATGGTTTTTTAATATTTTTGTAAAATAATTAATTAATTAATTTAGCTTTATTTTTGTAAAATATGTAACACATACTATATAAAACTATATACAATATCAACGGAAATACCCTAAGCTACAATATGGAATCAATGTTTCTTATTTGGAAAACGCACAGCGAGTAAATTTATTCTTTATATTATACTATCAAAGTTAACCACATTATCAAAGATACCTCGTTTTACGGTACTACAAAATACAAATAAGCTCGATTTTAGTTAACCTCCGTACATTTAACTGATTTATTAGATATTTTATTGGAATTGAAACAAAATCTTTATTATGCACCATGGAATCTTTAAACGCAATATGGAATGCTTTTATAAATATTGGTAAACTTTAATAATGAATCAATAGTCAGAAAAATCGAGTTTATTTGGACAGTTAACAGTTTTCATGCACTTGTTATCATGCATTACAATGATGTGAACGAAGGCTGAAAAAGTGTAATGGTATTATTCTAAAAAATTTCCATCATTGAAGAGCTGAGAATCTACTTAAAGATTTAAATCAATAAATCCAGCGTAAACGGAGGACTCACGAACACAATAAGCTCCCCCATCACTCATATTCCGAATCTGATTATTAAATGAGTATTTACAAGTATACAATTAAATATATCAACAAGTAATGGAATTTTCTCTCCGGGAATGGATAAATAAAATGGTTAATTGCTCTGTCATGTAAACGTTGAACATACATTAGAGAAAATCAATTAATGTTACGTTGCTTCTTCCAGTTGTGTTTTGATCCTGTTTTAAATATTTGTCATTGAATATATAATAATAATATAATAGGACCTGTGATTTATTAAAACTCAAACTCCACGGTGGTGCCCTTTACACAAGAATAAGCCTCTACTGCAGATGATCTTTTAAAACTGGAAACAAAAAAGCAAAAGCTACGAAAAAGCGCTTATGCCTTCATTAAATTCTACTCATACGCGATGTTAATAAAAAATAATAAGATTCTCTTGAATGGGTCGCGTCGCGTCGCGTCCACTCCGGCCGCGGCCTAAGACGGGTACAGAATCCATAAAACATTCACATTTTTGAGCTACCGTGCCCCTTACTTCACGCTTGACGCTTTACCAGCGTAAAAGCTAGCAATGCTAAATAGTAATTACTGTACATAAGTAATACAAATCCGTATTTTTGGTAGCACTGGTAGCAAGCTCCAATTTCCGATGCGCTGCAACTCCGTTGTCAGTATATTCTAATACACACGTACACGCTTATGCTATACAACTAAATCGAGATCCATCGAAGAAGTGCGAGCCAGAGAGAAACGCATTGATTGGAAAACAATGAATCCCTCCATTTCCGTGAGCTAGATAGAGAAAGACGATAAAACGTTATAAAGCTCTATGCAGATGAGAATCCAATTCGATTTCAACGCTGTTCCCCTGCAAGCGAGTAGTTCGTCAGATCCAAAAGCGAGCCAACGAAAGAGACGATCAGTTTCACATTACTCGATCTCCTGTCCCTGTCATGGATTCCAAGTCATAAAAGCAAGACAAATGACACCCGTGGATGGACCATCTCTTGCAACTCAGCACACTCAAAGGAGGGAAAGTGGAAGCCTGTGAAAATGCAATGGTATCCGAAAAACATAACTAAGGGCAGGAGGAGAAGCTATCCTTTCCAAAATTTTACGTGATACAGTTCATGGATGCCCCCTTAGTGAAAGAGAAAGATAAAAATAGGTAGATGGTAGAATGGAGCCCGCATAAGCGAGAACCATAAATTGACCTTACCTAAAATGGCCACAAATTGTCTACAATCCCTGCCAAACTTCAACCGAAATGGTTATGGAACTTTACATGAACGTTTAATGATAAAGTCTTAACCCTAAGTATTATAGTTTTTTGGAAGTGGACCTTACAAATAATGGGCTGTTAAGAACCACTACCATTCAAAATTCCTGCCTTCTCCATACATCCTCGCAAAGAAAACCATACTAAAACCCTTCAACTTATGGTTTGAGAACATCAATGGTAATGGCCATGGTAAGCAGTAAGGTCCATGAATGGTTTTGTAACATCGATCAACTTTACGTGGAACATATCGCGAATTGGTTGCCTGCAAATTACTGATTACCAATTCACGATATATCTCACGTAAAGCTGAGCGATAATAC